AAAATCCACAGTAGTCAAGTAATGTTGACAGTCTCAACATGCTTATGTTGACCTAAACTATCTTTGAACCATCCTTCTGTCAGATATCAGCTGGAAGAGGTGTGCAAGAGGAATGACCATTCCCTGCTTTCTGTGGGTTTAAAACAATTCTTTCTTCTGGAGGTGATGCCTTTCACTGGCATCAAAATCACCTTAAACAAAACATGTCCCTTTTTAAGAATATGCTGTATGTACAATATGCTCTTCCAGAGAGATGAAGTATTAGCATTTGAAAGGACTGATGAGAATGCATATTTAGGAAAGACCTTTGTTCAGAGAATTACTTCTATATTCTATGTGCATATCACCATGGTAATTGAATTATTTGCCACTGACATAAGGTATATAGCACAAGCCTTTTGCCATTTTCCATGATGTACTTCTTAGCAAAGAGTGCCACTTGTCACTTTAAGATTTATAGGAGGATATTTAGCAGTTGTGTCTACTATCATAGGAGATGGATGTGGTTTGAAAACGTGAAACAAAAAGGAACAGGTAATTAATTATATCTTCTTGCAGTTTAATATTCCTCCCCATTTCCACTTAAACCGTGAACCATTCTGGAACTGCTGGAGCCACAAAGCAAAACCACAGCTGTGCTCTCCACGTGGCTTTTTCTACTGGAATGCTACTAACATGAAACAGTATTTTTGTTTCTTCCCATCATCACCGCTTTCAGGGCACTGGTGCAAATAAAACAAGCCTTTCTCTTTGTTGAGGTCATTCCGTGCATGCTCAGAGCATGATGCTGATCTCTGTGAAGGGTGTAGCAGCCACTGAGTACTGTGTGAAGGTTTATGTAAGGGAATTACTTGATTAATCTTTTTGGGGGAGATATAGGATACAGACTGCCATGGCAGGAACTGGGAGACCCTCAAAGAACCTCATTAACATGACTCACTAAACAGAGAGAAAATAATCTCAAATATTTGTGCTACCATGTGTGTAGATCTTTCATTTTGAATAGTATTCCGTAGGAAAAGGTGGAATAATAGGTATGGTGGTGAATACTACTGCTTAGTGAACTGCTCAGCATATGAAAGAGATGGTACTCTTTTTTGCTCCTTCATGCTGTGGGTGATTGTCATCTCTAGTTTTCTGTTCCTCAAAGTCAATCCAGCTTTCTAGAAAAGTGTGTAGTTCTGTGTTGTTCTCACCACATAAGAGCAGGGGTAACCTCCCTGCAGAAGTCTCTGCCGATGGAGAATAAAACACAGTTAAAGAGTAGGGATTTCCCCCACTCACTGCTGTCTGTTTTATCTCCCTCTGCCAGTACAGGATGGAGAAGTTTTCATTCTTGTTACAGTACTGCATGTAGAAGAGAAAAACAACAATGCCAAGAATTTATTCTTTATGCAACATTTTATTTACCAAATGACCCAGGGATTAGTCTTATGTAATGACTGAGACAGGTTCCCCTGTCAGGATATTTAAGTGCTTTGCTGTTGGTAGCTTCTGGGATCAGCTTTCTAGACAAGTAGCATTTAAAGCATCCTTCTGTGGTTTTCCATGAAGGGAAAGCTTACACACATGTATTAATTTTTGTTGCCTAACACACCCTTTCATTCTAGCCCTGGTGCCAGTGTCACATTGCTTTCATGTTCGTTTTATTAGACTAGTGGCAGACTAAGGCCCCTTCATTTCTTGTTATGCATAGATATCAAGCTGAAATATCCAAACATATACATTGACCTTCAGGTTGACCTCATGCCATGAATCTGACCTGGCAGGGATCAGCTCCCTAGCACATGGAGGCAACTGCGTGACAATCCTGAAAAATGTGAGGCAAAGCTGTTTCCTTGCAAAATCATATGAAAGAGCATTAGGCATTGTTTCACTCCAGTGTTTGTTCATGGTCCGTATCTTGTTTCCTCCTGTGGCGTCAGAATAAATCCCTGACTTCCTTTTCCCTTTGAGCAGTGCTTCACTGTACTCCCTGTGTTTCATTACCTGAAAGCCGCAGGCTGGTGCAGAGGAGCCTTGTGACACTAAGATCAGCTGAAGCCTAATGGAGAGGAGTCCACGTGACTGCAAACCGCGTGGACTTGTCTGGCAGTGCAGTTTAGGTAAATAAAGCCCAATGTGCTCACTGCTAATCTTCTAAATTTTTTTTCTTTTTCTTTTTTTTTTTTTTTTTTTTTTTTTTTTTTTTTTTTTTTTTTTTTTTTTAACCCAGTGATGCTGCTGTTCTAGGTTTTGGCCTCAAAATTTTGTTTCTCAGAATAGAGAGCTGCTGCTTCCGTATTGTCAGGCTGCAGCATGACATGCAGCAGAGAGTTCATTATGCATTAGCAGAGCCATCTTTAAGGTAGGCAAACAGTCTGTAGCTCTGCAGAACAAAAGAAAAGCAAGAAAGGGAATGAGCAAAGGTAGTATTTGCTGACAATAATTTTTTTCAGTTGCAGCTTATGGCAGGGATTAACCACAGTGTCTTAGTATTTTATTTGGGAGTGGGAGGCAGGGAAGTATTAGGGGAGGGAAGAGCTAAGTATTCTTCCCCATCTCCCTTGAAAGGTTAGTATTAGTACTCTGAAAACAATGCTTAAGGTTTTGAAATTTGCGGTGTGCCTTTTATTGAAATAGCATTGAACCATTATACTCTTTCTTTCTAATTAGTAACAAAGATGCAAAAAAACCGAGTTAAAGGTGGGAGAAAAATGTAGCATCCAATATTGCATTCAGGCAAGCTTATGTGAAGCCAGCCATGTGTTGTTGTAACTTCATTTTATGCTTATAATTGAATTAAGATTAATTACATTTAATGCAATCCCACAAGAAACTATTGTCCTGACATATTTCATTTGCTTCGTGAAGGAATGGCTCACTGGGATGGAGGGAGGGGGGATACAGAAACACGTGAGTCAGGAGTAATTGTCACCTTCAGTTAGCCATGATCAATGAAGAAACAGTGTTGTAGATACCCCTATATCCGCTTACAAGCAAACTTGTGTTTACATCACATTAAATGGTGGTAATGACTATTCCATCATGAGATATATTCCCAATATTTACAAGACTTCAGGATCAAACCTGTGACTGTACACCTTCTAGATTTTCATCTGAAGCAATTTGCAAATGTTTTTGATCAGGTGTATTACCGTAGCACCTTTAAAAACTGAAATACTACCAGCTGTAGTGATGTTTGCCAACCTGGTTTTGAAAATTGTTTCTGTTGAGCCCCGATTCATTATCCCTCTGTCTTATTCAAATTTCTTACTGACAGTGTAGCATCTTGCCAGTCCCATTTACTTGCTTTCCCCCCGGGTCTGTCCTCTTGACTGCTTTGCAGAGGTGGAGCAGAGCAGAGCAACACCTTCCCAGTAGTTACACCTCCCCCTTTTTCTCAAAGATCACTTTTCCACAGCATTTAACCTGCACACAGGGAAAGCTCTTGGCTGGCTTTTAGCAGTTAACTGCAGTCAGCTTAACACTTTATGAAATGCAGTTTGCCCTTTCCAATACCAGCCAGATTTAACTTGCTTTATCTTCAGAGCACACAAAAAAAGAAGGGATGCTTTAATTTGAAGTTATCTTTTTTGTTGTAAACTGCCAGTGGGAGCAGGGCAAGCTTCCCACCCGTGTCGGGTGGAACAGAGTTTGTATCAAATAGCTATTCTGAGGTAAAAACTAATTGTATTAAATAGCTATTGTGAGGTAAAAACTATCTATGCCTGTTTTTAGTAGGATTTGAGGTTGAAATTAGTATCTTGAGAATTATCTTTGTCTATAAACACAATCTTAGTTCTAATCAAATAGTCATAATAAACATGGATTCTAACATGAAAGAATTTCAGGAGAGAGATGACCCAAAGCTTGCTAAATGCCTTTGTGTGCCATTAAATGCAGAGTTCTGCCAGTCTGGGAGCTCCTTCTGCCTGATACTTGATCTCTGGTCTCCTATTATTTTTCCCTTCAGATTTTCTCTCTTTCACTGAAGTGAGTGTTTACCTTTGAAAGAAGAAGCTGTGTGGGCTCCATTTGACACTAAAAAGTATTCCAGAACTGCCATTTAAATTCAGTAACACAAGCACTCCAATTACAGAGGTGCCCTTGCAAGAGCTAGGTACTCCAGCCTGCTTTTGATGGAGAGCAACATTTTTTTCACTCTTACTCAACTTACTAGTTTGTCCTGGGTTTTCATTAACTTGTCTCTGCCTAACCAGCAACTCTTAAATACTTTTTGCCCCCATCATTCCCTCTTCTCTATTCCTTTTCCATGTTCTCCTTTGTCATTTTCTTTCCATAGTGCAGGGTAAGAAATTCTGCACTGCTGTTTGGTGCTCCACTTTGGGAGCGATAACTGCCTTCATCCTCCATCTCTGTCCTTCTCCCACAAATGAATACTTGGTCATCACAATACTTCAGATGCATTTTATTCCTGTTTCTAATTTACAGTGAAGGCAAAGAAATGAGAAAGAAGTGTTTTACTCTGTTTTGCAGCTGTTTATTCAGTCTCCTTCCCCAGGCTGAGGCCTGGATGGTAAGGCTGTGAGATGCCCCACATCAGCTGGTAACATCGCTCTCCAGTGCACAGAGGTTGCACGGTGTTTTCCTTATGCCCATCACCACCAGCCCCACTGATCTGAGTGGGGTATGTGTGCCCAGTGCTCACTCAAATAGCCCCATTAGCACCGAAATGAGAGAGCTGTGGTGTCAGCAGCGGTTCAGTGGTTAGTTAGCACAGCCCTCCTCATGGGATTGTTTACTCTGGTAAGAAGCTACCCCACTGCAATATAAGTTGAGGTGTAAGGTGGACTTCAGCAAAGGCCTCTGCGAAAATTAAAATTCAGGTCAGTCCCACATCTCTGGACTGTGTATTTTAGCATTAAGGTGATTTTCAAGCAACAGGAACAAAATTAGACCACAAATAAAAATGATCCAGAGGGTAAGTGTTTGGCCTCATGTATTTGCATTTGTAGGCACATGTATTTATGAGTCCTCCTTTGGTCTGTGTTTTGTAGGACGAAGAAGGTCAGCCATTGCTACCGGATCGTTTACCGCCACCCGGAGAGGACTTTGACGCAGGACGAGGTGCATCGCATCCATCAAGCTATTGAAGAGTCAGCAGTTCGAGAACTTGGGGTTGAGGGCAGGTTCTAGCACTGCTGGTCTGAAGCCCTAATGACAGTTGCTTTTTTTCTTTCTTTCCTTTCTTTTTTTTTTTCTTCTCTTTTCAGGGTTTTAGTTTGCAAGAGAGGGGTTTTGTGACTGAATGTAGAACAGGGAAAGCGATTGATAAATGGGCAGTGGTAAAACTAGCAGGTAATAAACATTACTACTGAGAAATCATTGACAAAGTGCTGGTGCTTTATTTTAAGAAATGGGAGAACAGCAGTAATGTAAGATTTCCCTCCTGTTACGATAAGAAATACACTGCCTGGTGGTTTTCTATGTTGTTAATTGGTCCCTGGGTTCCATTAAACCGTAAATACTTGGCATTATTTCTGTGTTGACAGGATCTTCTGTCCATGTAACAAGTGAAGCAAATCAGAGACATAGATTAGCTCAGGGAAGAATAACCCATCTTGCTGTCCGCCCCTCCCTCTTTTTTTTAAGTAAGAAATGTCAGATTTTCCTTCAAGAAACTTTCCAAGAAGTACATCTTGAAAAGTTTGGCTCTCTTTACTTTCAGAGCCCATGGGTGTTACTTTCATCAGCTATACAGAGAAGGACCCACTGTGGCTCCAGGGCCAGACTTGGCTGTCTTCAAATGCTGGGGTCATTGGCAAGTTTTTCCTGTTAGATCCTCTTGCTCCCACAGGAGCAGAGCCACTCAGTGAGTTGCTCCAAGCTGTGCCATCTTCCCCAGGGAAGAAACTCCCTTGTCGCACTTCTCGCATAGGCACCAGTACAAGATAAGTCTCTTCCCCTGTCACCACCAAAGGATTGATATCACCTGGGGCAGGACGGCAGAAAAGAGAAATTCTTCCCTGCAGTGGCCTGAAAAGCAGCTGCCTTGATCTATCACAGTATCTTACTTTCTAGCAGCAGTGTCTGCTCAGGAATTTGACCTTTAAGGCAGGAAACCAAACTAAAATGGGATCTCCTGCTATTTGAGGCACCAGTCGCTTTACAGGATGCTTGCCTTTTTCATTGCAGGTTATAATAAGTAAATTCTGGTGATGATTTGATGCTAGGGCCTGTAGAAGTGTTCAAATGATCTGATAAATACTTGATGAGCCATTGCAGATGCTGATATGGAATATGGGACCTGTTTTTGCTTGTAATGGTATTTCATACAGTCTTGCAGGTCACATCTGGTTGCCTTGTGCAGGCAACATTCCCTCCTTCAGGGAAGAAGGCAATAAAAATGCTGCAGTAAACAACATCTAACACAGATTTATACCTTATCAAGAAACATCTGTGCAGCAGGCTCGTACTCAACCATAAGAAGCCAGTCACTATTGCAGATGTGACAGAAGCACAGAGCTTATTTTAATTTCATTACTCAACATATTTAGCTGTGTAAACAAATCCTAATCTAAATCGTTGTTTTGTTATCCAAATAACTTGATTATGAAAACAATATGCTAGACTTTCTACAAGGCAAAAAGAATGGGTTCCGTTTAGGCATCAGAAAAACCTACTTGGTTATTTTTAAACCATCGTCTACTAAGGTCCTTAAATAAAGGATAAACATCCATTTGATGTTTCTCTGTCTCTTCATCCTTCACCTTTTCAGGATACTCAGTGAGGACCACTGAAGAGGAAGAGCACTTCCCTGAATTGCACTGAGCAGTAATTGTTCCAAGGCAGGGCCTAATCAATGCTGCCACATGGGGCAGCAGATTATGTGGATCTTAACTGATGGAATTGCTTATGGAGAAAGTACAATAACCTGCCTGCTGTATGAAAGAACTAAGTCTCTTGGGAAAACAAGACACTATCTGGGGTGAAGTAGATGACAAGATTTCCCTTTTAATTTATTATTTATTGAAGTTTCCCTTTTCTGCTCCCTAAATCCTTCCGTTCTTCTTTCATTCTGATCAACTAGTTTTGAGAGCATAAAAATCTGGGGAAAGCAAGGAGAAAACTGGACAATGAGTCTTTGTCACTGCAGCCACTGGCTCCCATGCATGGCTTTGCAAGGCAATTTGGATTTTCTTGGATCAGCCAATCTCCAGTCACTAACATCCACCGTGTTTGACTCGATATCTCTTTTCCAACCTAAACAATTCTATGATTCTATGTGCCTGCACTCCATTGAGCATGGGCTCCCTGCGACAGCCAGGTCTTGGTGGAGTAATGTTATTCTTTGAAACCTGAAAGATTAATCTCACGGGCTAATAGGATAAGGGGGAAATGCAAAGCTTTCCCTGAAGCTGACCTAATACCATGGAATCATCTTCCGGAGTAGGTGTTTTCATAGCAGCAACTTTCAGACAAAAATGTGAACTATTCCATTAAAAAAACCAAACAGCTTCTTCAGGAGCAAGCACAATTCAATCACATGAATGCCTGTAAAATCATAAGGGCTGGCTGTGAGCATAATATAAACACTTGGGTAAAACTTTGTCACATATATTCTTGGATTAATCTACTCTAAAGACCTATTGTTCTGACAAAGATACACCACAACTAGCAAAGCAGACCTCAGATGAAAAGGCATCAGAGTTGCATTTATACTGCTGTCCTTTGGAAAATATGTTTTTCCCTTTAAAGCCTGACCTTAATTTTACTGGGGAAATTCGCTGTGGATAGTAGTAAACTATCAAACCATATGATCCCTTGTGGATACCAACAGAGAGCCCATAAGAGTCTTAAGGTTGTAATAGCCATTATTTATTTTACCGCTGATCAGGGACATAGGATGCTAACAGCATCTTGGAGACTAGACTGATCCTTGGTGGGAGTGTGGAAAACTTGACTGAGGAAGTCCTTGGTACAGTCACTGCCCAACCCTTGTCAAAGGAAAGGAGATCCTCTGCTGTCACTTGGCTTTTCTCAGGACATATTTAGCACAAAGGTAGGTGAACTACCTTGAAGACCAAGAACAATGTAACTAACAAGATAAGATCCCTTGCTAGTCTCTGCTCCCCTAAAATCTGTTTCATGAATGTTCCTCAACGTTGGATGGGCTACAAGTCTAAAAAAGGCAGATGAGTTCCTCAATATCAAAGTGAAACCATGCCATATGGGAATATTAAGGGGAGCAGCATTGGAGTAATTACTGTGCATGCTGACTGACTAGTGTAGTGACAGGCACAATGCGCTGCTGCTTGTTTTTATCAGCTGCCTGTGTTTATTTTTGTGTGCCTCTGGGTTTTATATCAGCATCCTTTAATAAAAGAGAAAAAAGTCAATTGTAGCAAAAGAAGCTACACATCCCCAGGAATACTAGCTGGGGATTTGTGTGACTGAACAGTATGTATGGTTTAAATGTTCTGGGCGCTGGTTTTGTTTGTGGTTGCCATTGGTTTTCAAGCTAACCATGATTCTTCAAAGACTAAAGATTTAGCTTTAACATGCAGTTTGGGATCTTCCCAGTGAACTGGCAGCAGATTTATGGTGCACTTAAGTCTTACCTGGTTTTGATATTCTTATTGAAGGTGCTGCAATGGAAATGTGTTGTGATCTAGATAGGCAGTAAATGGCTCTGTGTCTTTAGCCTTGAGACTGCAGTGACCTCTGCCATAGTATTGCCAGGCACAATCAAACAGTTGCACAAATCTGAAATCAGTTTTGTACCGAGAATCCAAACTATGTTAGTAAATCACTGGTGGCCATCGTTTCCCTTCCATTGAGGATGTTACTGCTGTCCCTTCTGCAGCTGGTAGCCATACTGCAGCACTGAATTTACTATCTGCTTACTCTGTGCACCTGTATTGAGTTCCCAAGTATGAACAAATTGGTCTCAGCCCTTGAATACTTTCATGTAGCGATTAGCTTTTTTTTAAAAAAATGGGGGGAGGGGGGGAAATTGTGGGCTTTTTGTGTGTTTGGTAATTTTTGTCTACAGTGCATTTCAACTCTCCCAGGTAAACACACAGGTATGGGAGTACTCTTTGGTGGTTCATTGAAGTAAACAGAGGGAGTCTTGCCCTGAAAAGCAGAATTATGTCCATCTTATTGAGTTCATATTTGGGTAAAACTAAAAAAACCTTGTCTTCACTGTGGGTTGACTGAAGATTGGCTGGTGCTCATTAGTTAAAGCAAGGTCAGAAAGCATTCTGTCTTGCATCCACCCCCCCAAACAACATAGACACAAGGACATTCTGTCAAATTCAGTGTGAGCACATAAAATGGTTGTGCTGGGTATTTGAGGCCTGCTAGTTGGTATCACTGAACTATCTCCATCAAAGATAGTTACCATCTGGGAGAGGAAATGAGTTTGTACTTCAGCTCTGAAATAAGCAGCCATATTTTTGAAGCTAAGAGCTCTCTTCAGCTGCTGCCTGCTGTGCATCTTTGCTCAGAGAAGACTGTTTCCGTAAAACAGATTTGCTTTCTGGGTAAAACAGGCCATATTGACTAATTACACACATCCTGATCAAATTTTAAGATTTGTGAGCATTGCCTCTGAAGGGCCACCAAAACAGTGCTCTGTTTTGGTGAGGCAGTCTTGTGAGGACCTTGAACAAATTTGTAGGGGACAAGAAACCAGTCTTTGGTACTTACTACCTGCTTTTAAATGTTAGTGCAGTTCAACACAGAGCTGGGTAAAGGCACTGACTTCTCCAGAATCTGTTGTATAAGCTTTGATCATCATTAACATCTGATGCACTCAAATGTTTGGCAGGTTTTGTGCTTTTGTGCCTTTCTCATATGGCCTCTGTTATTCTATTTATGTTCACTGTTAACTAAGTAGAGTCTGTTTTAGTCTACCTATTATACTTGGACTACTGACATGACCTGGTTTCCCCTTTTCCGTTTTGCTTACCTTCTCATACAGTTCTTGCTTTAAAATTTGGTGTAACTTTGGTCAGGAAACAGAGTCAGGCTTCAGGCAGGGAGATTTATTATACCACAGCCTACAACCTGTGCTCCCACACCGCATTACTGCAGGGTCTCTCTGTGCTCAGCCTCTGGATGCAGGTGATTAACATGCGGTCCAGGGAATTGTGCCTCTGTCTGCTCAGTAATTTGCTGGGCAGCACTGCAGTCATCCAGAGCAGCTGCCACTTAAATGGGCAGAAGATTGTTCTCTTTTTATTTTAGTGTCTGCAGCTTCCCTCATATCACTGTATGATACAGCTAGAAGCGCTGTGTTGGTTTTTGCTGCAGCTAAGCATCAATTAGATGCATCTCGTGATGCGGTGCTTGTGCAGCCATTTGTCTGCAGAATCACTGTGT